TGGGGGATCGAAATTCATGGTATTTCAGTAAATGGGAGCCCCATTTGGGCCCCATTTACTGTCAAATATGACACTGACAAGCGGGAAATTTCGCACTTGGACTAGAGATTTCTAGAACTATCTGGAATACCTGAAGAAAAGTATATAAGCGACGACGAGAACCAGACCGGGAGAGTGAAGTGACAGCCGCGCCTGAGTGCAGAAGAAGTTAAACCCGCGAGTCGGAAATCCGTGTTTTCCGTGTGTTATTGTTATCGTTAGTGAAGTTGACATTAATTTAGAAGTTAGTTTGTTCCTGTTCCGTAGTTAAAGTTGTACCGAGTGGAATAAAAGTTGTAAGTTGAAGAAAGAATTTGATACTCGGCCATCCACGGTACAATATTATACATGAAATATTTTTCTAATTGGGAGTATAATCCAAAAATCTAATAATATATAGGCTGTTCCATTGAAACTAAGCAAGTTGAAACCTTCTTCCGGCATAACCAGAAGTGTGACCATATCGAAAATATTTTAGATCGCTTGCCCTCAATGACTTCGGCACACCGTCATATTTTCAAATTTCTCCTAATGGCAGTTTGCCAAATATCCATTGCGGCGGTTCCCGGTCGAACACCCTGTAGACCGTTAAGTCATAAAGTATATTGAAAACCCCCCACTTGAAATTATCGCACACTGGCTTTGATTGTATGTTTACCTATACTTATAATTATGTCCCAACACGCTTAAAACATTTTTGGAATTGTCTAGGAAAATTACATGTTTACTTGAAGAATTATGAGCAGTATTTGTAAATTTACATGTAATTTATTATGGCTTAATTTCAAATTTTTGCATGTTTTGATAATTCTGCTAAAAGTTTCGTTTATCTAAGACAGTGTTTCCCAAACTCTTTTGGCTCACTGGTCTTTTTTCATACTCAAAACTTTCACATGAACCCTGGGAAACTACATAATTGCATAAGGGAAAAATTCCAAAAAAATCTAGTCGGTTTCTTTCTTTTGTGACGAGGCTTAATGTTGGATATAAAATTGGGATCTGTTTTTGTAACCAGAAATTGTCGTATCTTATCTATAAACATTTTCAGCTTTTTTTTCAGGTTTCAGCTCCTCATGTGTGGATAATCCTCACATAATAATAAGTTGCATTAAGTATTAGTATATTTTTATCTGCATTTGTGTTCTGACTGTGAGTACTTGCAAAAAAGTTCTGTTTTATAATTTTAAGATCCCTGACGTTGTTCATGGACCCCAAAATCGGGGGCCCTGGGATCTGTAGGGACCACTTTGGAAACCACGGATCTAAAAGAATCGAGAACGGTTTTATTTTCTGTTTTTCTTTTTATTTTTATTTATAATTGTTTCAAATTTCAACTCGCAGTTTTTATAAATTTGCTTCCGCGGTGTATATTGCCTAGCTTGATTTTTTCGAGCTGATTTTGGCTTAAAAAAGCCAACATGACCAGAGTATAGAGAAGATCGGAAAACTAATCTCCATATTTTTAACTGAGGATTATTATGAAGAACAACTCAGAGTTGATATACAGGCTGTCCCGTCAGCACATGATCAAAAGGGTAGGTACTGCGATATTCTTTGGATCAAAAGAAGACGATCTGACCGAATTTTTGCTAAGAAAAAAATGTCTGGCTCCTCTGCTATTGATGATCAAAGTTCTTGTAAAAGATGGGAGAATGGTACGATGGAATTTAATGAAATTCGCTGTGCATTTGTTCCTATGTAAGGCTCATGTTATGATGAAGCAACCGATTTCATACGAGTGTCTTGGTACAAAAACTACCAGAACTTTTTCCTTGATAACTAGAATCAAATGATTTTTTTTTCAGTTGATGCAATAACCATCACATTTTTGTCCTTTTTGTAAAATCTGGTAGCATTCATAGTTTTTGATCCAAAAAATATTTTTGATTCAATTTCAATTTAACATTGGATAGGCATTAACTCATTAACTTTTTACATTAACAAAACATAAATTAATTTTCTTGCAATTCAAAATCAATTCTTGGGCTTTAGTCATTTATTGTCTATTTATCAATTAAAATACGTTTCGGTGTTTTCCACCATCATCAGTTTCTATGTGTAGCGTTGTTACTACTTTAAGCCTTGGCATATATATATATATCAAATATATGGTTTTTGGTATATGGCCTGGGCTTTTTAATTATCGAGGAAACAGATTTTTTTTTTGCTGAAAAACTACGATTGCTGCAGGATTTTACAAAAGCCCAAAAATGTCCCAACAGGACTGGAAAAAATCAGCTGCTCCCAGCTATAAAATAAAAAGTTCTGGTAGTTTTCGTACTACAAGAATTGAAGATTACAAGATGAATACAAGATTAATACAAGAATACAAGATGAATCTTACAAAGGAATACATTCACAGCGATTGATTAAAGTCAATGGTATCATTCTTCCCATATTTCAAAACAAACAATTTTTTTGAAGAACTTTGACTATCAATATGAATTTTTTCTGAATAAAAGTTAGGCCATAACATCTTCTATTCATCCAAAGGATATCCCTGTACCCTTTTGATCATGTGCTTACGGGACACCCTGTATATGTTCTATAAACTGTTTTAATTCCCATTTTCGCTTTGTTGTTTAATGTTACTGTTAACGTTTCAGGTTGGGGTTTATTCAATTTCCGGTATTACACATTATTTAGTACATATTTACCGACCGTTTATTTGTCGTTTGTTATCTACAAGTTAACATTTTTCGGTTCTTGCGTTATGGTTTAAGCGTGTTTTCGTTTTGCCTGAAAAATATGGCACATTCTAACAGTAACTTGCATTTATTTACAATTTACCTTGGCTCAGTGCAAATAAGTGGTTCAGCTATCCTTTCCCATGAAAAGAATCGGACGTCCTTCGGAAATAAAAGAAATAAATAAATGAAGAAGACACGTGGTTAACCGATTACACAAGATAGTTCCGTGCTTAAAAAAGTGGCAATAAACAAAAAAAATGCGAATGCGCGTCGAAGTGTTCACGACGTCGTCGCGACGTACGTTAAATACAACTACGCGACGTCAACGTGGGAGAAGCGAACGACGTCCCTATTTACCCCTGCACAAACAATATGCATCGTGGTGGACGTTCTCAATGTTGCCAAGTGCAGCCAATCAGAGTGATATTCTTGTATGTTTGCCGATGATTAGGTTGTGCCTGCGCAAAACGTTGAGGAGTTCACAAGCACATGATATGTTTGTCTTGGATAATGTCCTAAAGGAAACTATTTGGATTGGTGCGTTGATGCGACTTTATTGGTCTTTGATATTATAGTGAGTAAGGAATCAATAGAAATATACTCGTAATACACGTTATGGGGTTACCATGTTTGGAAGCTTCGAAGAATGGGAATACCTTTTCGACTGAATTGGCTTATTTATATTCTAATCTTGCAATATTCATTAGAGAAACCATATATTTGCATATTAAATAGATATGGCATCATTGGATGAGTTCCCCACGTTGGGAAATAGGTCGGGCGGCCGGGGGGTCACGGACCTGTGGGCGAACGAACTATAAAGAGGGGATCGACGAACACAGCAAAACCGAATTCAAATCCACAATTTACCTGCATTACAGGAATTTCCCAATTGGAACAGATTTAGATTTCTTTGAAAGCATCTTCAATTAGTTGGTCAGACTTGTCTCTTGCTGATAGAGGTGAAAATAAACTGATGGTAACAGATTAGAGTGACTCTTCACTCACCGTAATTGCTTAGTAAGAACAGCAACAATTTTGAAAATTAACTTTGTCATTTTAAGAAGTTTTAACATCTACTGGCCAATCAGTGGCTTGCGATGAGGTTTTAAATATGACTTCCCTAATTTCTTTTCGCTCTTTTCGTACATTACAACACAACGAAACACCCTGTACATAAGTGTGTGCTGCTGCTGTTGAATTACACGGCATGCCCCTTTAAGGCCACTTATTATACTTGAGGTGAATACAATAGTGCGATATCAATAATTAAAACCTAATTTGAGTATTTAGAAGTTAATTCAAGGTTTTATGCATGTAAGGAATTGATCGATAGACAAAGATATCATCCGGTAAGAAAATTGTAGTTGAACGCTCCTAAGTGCAGATTTAGTTTCTAGGAATTTGAATGGACACTTTGGTCTGGTACACACCAACTTCATTAAATTATTTATTTATTTAAAATTGCGAAAACATCTACAGTTTCGCAAGAAAAGACGAACATTCAACATAAATATACAACTATGCTGAATATCCCAGCAAAATTTATAGATTTCACCTAAGAACAAATGAAATGTGTTTAAACCTCGTAAAATTTTTCTGTAGCGTAGTGTACCTACACCATACAATGTTTACTTCTTTCCATACATAGCATACATATTTTACATGACGTAACTTTGAATATGAAAATGCACACGAAAACAGATTTTCGATGTTGTTTCAAAATTGAAAATGCTTAATCACGAAATGTAATTTGAAAACTTTTTTATGAGGTTGGCAACATAGAGAGAATCCGATTATGTATTACCAACCATTTTTATGGTCTTTCGTAGTGGGATTATAGAATTTCATTGGTTTTGGGTGGTAGCAAAAAAGATGTTTCCAGATGTTTTGCAAAATGTATTTTCTAAGTTTTAATTGTTTTATATATTTTAAGAACCACTTACTCTTCTGGAAGTCCTCCGTTATTACTATTACTTTTGTTTGCCGGTACAAGACCCACTGCTAATAAAATATCTATAGCACTTTCCGGTTGTGCCTCCTCGTTTAGAAAGTCGTTTGGAAGATTCTGATCTGGAAGAGCACCGCGTTTTAGGCGAGATCGTGTTGGCAAACCCAAAATTTCATGTTGCACGTCCCGTTCGTATGATGCCTCACTAAAATATTTAGAAATAGTTTTGTAAAAATTTTAACTTTGGTTGTGAGTGCTGAAACAGGCTTGGTCATAAGATTGCAATCATTATCAGAATGAACATATTGCAAAGGTCAACTCATTAAGAAATGAGTAAATATTAGATAAAACTAAGAACCAATCATATTGGGCGTACCTCCAATTACTAGACCGGATACTAAATCAATCGATAAGTACAATAAATAATAAGAACATTTTCTATTTAAAAACCGGGCACACACTAAACAAATGTTTGTTGCGGTTGGTAAGAGTACAGATTCATCGGATTTGATTTACTTCTACCCTCTGCAATTCAAAGCAGAACGTCGCGAGTATTTGGAAAAGCATGTTGGTGCCAATCGTTTCTTCCGTGAGAGAACTAAAATAGAAAAATATTAATATTCGGATAGAACAAAGGCAAAAGAACGGGTTGGCTAAAATCCCTTTTTTTGCGTCTGTTTTACTAGTAATTTATGGAATTACCATCTTTTTTTCAAATTATAAGACTATGAAATGAGGTATCAGAAACATAGGATATCCGCTGGATAAAATAAAAGTGAGGTTTTTCAATCGGCATAAAAAAATTGTTTACCGACTACTTATAGGTATATAGCTAAAGCTAAACCTTTTCACATTGTACATTATTGTTAATGTTGTCTTTAAAATCCTCAGTCCAGCCTCAGTTACAAAATTGCAACACAATTATGCATTTCTTTTGCAATATGTGTCAGGAGTTGAAATAAAACCTGAGTTATTGTGTTCTTATACATATTACGAGTCTAGAAGCGTTTCCAAAAGTTAACAAAAATGTTTGAAAAGCGGATTTGGCACTGGATTAAGAACTCGATTTATGCTTAAAAAAATTCGACCCTTTATTTGGGTCTTTCTCAGGGCTAGAACAAGGTCATTCACCAGAGGTACAATCTCCCGGTTTTCTAATTAAAATATTTATGCGATTATGGTTAAAGTCATTCTAATTTTTATACATTATTTTATTATGAGAACGAATTATCTTTTATCATTTTAGTGCCTCATTTTACAATAGTACAAGTACTCTAACTTTTTTAGGAAATTGAATTTGAAAAAAATTGCAATGTTATGCCATTGCCGTTTCCACTCTTGTCAGAAACTATCAAATACTCGCCTAAAATGTCTGGAGCATATCCGAGCAGTTGCACAGTTATTTACGCTTTTTCCACACGCTTTCAACCATTGATGGCGAATAACCGAATCCCCTGGAAATCGATGGTACTTTACCGATCCTCCTTTAGTCCTTCGATGGGTGTTATTGCAACCCACTACAGCACACTGAGGCATTTTAAACTTGACATTGGAAAATTAAGTCTTTGGTATCAGAGCTTGAAAAAGATCGTTCGATTTCAGTAAATGTAACAGATAACAATCGTCAAGTGTAAGAGTTTGAAAAAAAACATCTTCAGAAATGAACTTTTTGCCAATCCCAGAATACTTTTTCTTTTGATGATGTCAGGTCCTGGATGAGTTTTGTTCGTAACTAGTTCTTATGGCTGATGGTTGACCCCTATTTTAGACTTAATCAGTAAAAACTAGATTATGATGAATCGATAATATATTTTTTTAAATATTCGTGCAAAATATATTTCTCTGTATCTCTGAAATCAAGTTTTTTTGCAGGATTATACAAGTTTATACAGACTTGCTATAGGCAGTCTTGACTGATTATTTCGAGTATGATGCATTGTTCAAATATTCGACTCAATTCACAATAAGCAATCAAGATTTTACTAATGCCAAAATTAATAGTACGTAAAGGCAAGCAGGAATTCAAAAATGCGCAAATTATATTTTAAGCCGGCTGTTCACTTAGGTATTTAAAAGCTGCTAAAACTGGACAACATTATTTCAAAGCTACTGAATTCCTCGAAAGTATGCCACTAGGAGATTATGATAAGAACTGGTAAAAGTGTGGTGCCTGTTTCAGATCAGATTAATAAAATACCTTATTCGATTTTCATTAATTCATTGTCTATAATGTGATATAAGTAACTAGATTAAAGTTGAAAAATATGTACGGAAATGCCCTATTTATTAGTTTTACGTTTAAGCTCTGGCTTGAGCCATTAAAATGGTAAAAATTGCCCATTGGGTTAAAAAACTCAATAATTTTACGTAAGTTTTGTCCAACACTAATTGGACAGTAACGTCCGTATTATTTTCTTAAGTTCACATTTTAACCCAATACGTTTTATTCATTCCAGTTTTTTTAACTAACTGATTTCATATTTTTTATTGCAAATAGCAAAGCCTTGAGAAGTAAAAGCACTAAAAGCAGAAAATTCAGTATTTAGGTGAATATATTCAACATTGCAAGCATGAGACATACATGATAAGCTAAAGGCTATTTTAAAAAAATATGTAATATGAAAAACTGTTATTTGTGATTAAAATAATTTAAATAAGATATAAGTAAATTTGCAAAATTGTAAACTAAAAAAATATATTTTGATTAATGTTTTCATTTTTCATTGACCGACAGTGTTACACCTTTTGCATTTCGCTACCTTAATTTCAATTTAAAACGACATTTTCTATTTTAAAAAAATATTGAAATAAATTTAAAAGTACTTTATTGAAGATTTAATATAATCACTGAAGCCTCAAGTTTTTTTAGGACCCTTTTTGTACCTTTTCACAACGCTAAAAGTAGAACTCCCTAGTGATTAGGTCAACAACTAATTTAACCAAAAGACTTCAACTAATGCAACAGGGTTGATTAAAAGTCGCAACTCTAAGGAAAGATTTTAAACGATCGCAAGAGGATAAATCCAATGTACTTGTTTTGTTTTGTGGGACTTTTTCCTACAAAATTTTTCTTTCTGTTACAAAAGAAAAACGTTCAAAGTACTTAGTGGCTTATTCTTAACTTCTTTTTATATTAGATCAATGTCGGGTTCGTATCTTGAAATGGCCAACTAAAATAAAACAATATCAGTTTTGGTGTGCGGTTGCATCAACCTTAATCACTAGGTTCGTCTGCAAAAACAGTCCAAGGCCGACAGACATCATTCCAGTTCAGGTACCTGCGACCATGAACTATGTACTGTAAGTGCACCTGGTTAAAGTAGCAAAATGCCTTCTTAGACCTTGGCAAATCGATTATTGATAACAATATCAGTGTATGTATTCTTAATCGAGGTCTTGAGCAAAGCAATAACATGCAAATTGTGTCCCAGTTCATCTGATGATCTACTCAAGATCTGTTGACATTAAACCATCTTCAAAAGAACGGAAATTCTCAGCAAATTTGTAACCAAAAAATATTTTAGTGCAAGAAAGGCAATTTGTCTTGTAGTAATAAAGAAAGCGAATTCGCCATTTCATCAAAAGACAGGTGAAAGATTTAAATAATACTAGAATTAAACCATTATAAGATCTTTATCCATTATAAGGACCAATGTCTTATAATGATAAGACACACGTTGTGAACTTTTTTCTCGATTTCTCTCCAAGATTTTGCCTTGTCTTTGTTGAACAACACGGTAAATTTGTAACCTGTTTTGTTGCTAGTGCATTTATCGTAGATAATAAAATAAGGTCATCACATGTTTGTTATAATCGCCCATATAGGCAAGCAGATTATCGGAAACCATCCTTGAATCAGGCAGCAACTACGAGTGTTCAGATTCTTTTGAAAACATCTTCATATCCAATGAATCTTATTACGATTTGCGGATCAGCTCAATGGTAATAAGTAATGAAACATTGTTGCAACTCGTGGGAATGCTGTTGACTTTGAGCAATTATTTTAGTTGGGATTTACTTTGAGATACTTAGAGGCTTATCAAATAGCAAATAACTATTTGTCATCGCTTAAGTACCGATTGCCAAAGCCTTGTGACTGTATTGATTTGTTAAATGGTTAAAACGCACCCGTATTCGTCGAGGAGCGTCTCTTATTTGATTGGTAACAAAGTCTTTATAAGGGTGGTAAGCGCGTCAAGTAGGTCAGGCATAGGTGTATGGTTCAGAATGTCCAGGGGAACCAACGAGAAAGACATGTCTGGTAGGTCGGGTTCAATTGTTGTCTGTTACATTTACGCAATAAACTATTTACGTGACCGGTTTTATAGAATGGTTTTTACTCTTTGTGCGTACACATTGTACGTGCTGTAAATAGTTGGTTACCACACTAAATGACCCGACTTTAACACTAAATCGACCATATCCGCCCGCACAAAACTATTATTCACCGTCAAATACAGCGGATTACAATCCTGGTTCAACGCGATAAGACGATAACACTGGTACCGTCCCATGTGCGACTCGAGCACCAACAACGTCAATGACGCGCACTCGATTGGTACCAAACGGCAAGGCAAAGTTGGTACCGAAGAGTTGCAGTCGCGATAATCAGTACAAGAGCTTAAAGGGGTGATTCATGCCCTCGCTAAATAAAATTGGCGATTGGGAAACCCGTTTCACGAAACTCTAATAACGTTCTGCGGCTCTGCTTTGGTCCTTCCAGCCATCCACTGGGCCAGCTTAACCGAACAGGGGTGTGTTCCAAGATCTTTATTTGGCTCACAGAAAGTTCACTATTACTAATTGCTAGATATCTAGCCAATGGATATGTAAAGTGTTCAGGAAAACTAGAGAAAAATCAAGCTAAGGTGTAGAAAAAACGACAACAGTAGCAGAAGAACAGGTTGATTTTTTTGAAGATCGATAAAGATTTATTGGACTTTTGACTAATTTAGAACAGACCATTTTAAATCAACTATAAATTCTAAGATGTAAGTTATCAACGTCCCAGTTAAGACCTAGATTTAACGTTCTTGCGTTAACAAGTCCTTGATGCCTTAAATATGATAATAATACTTGGAAATATTTGAAAATATCTGGTGCTTTAACTTCATTTCAGTATGAAAATATTGCATTAAAACGGTTTTATTTTGATTTATTTTCCTGACTGCGTGTAACTGTTAAGTATTATATTCTGTTGCTTCCTGGGTTTCAGTCAAAGTGTGAAATAACTTTTTTATATCGTTTATTTCATAACGTTTCGGCGAGACAACAGCGCCATCATCAGATTTACCATTACCATACCATACTACAAATACCAATTTACAATTAAAGTATGTTGTTTAAAAACTATAATTTATAAAGCGTTAAAATTTTCCTTAGTTCTTGAGGAAAAAACTTTTTTTTTGGGAGAGCAAAACATTTCAAAAACTTACCTCATAGTTGGGAAACATTAGATTCTTTTAGGTATTTGCTGTCTTCAAACCTCAAATTTGTTTTCCTTCCTCAAAGTTGTTAGACAATAATTCAAACAAATTTACAAATATCATCAAACAAGACAGCAAATGCCTAAAATAATCTAATTTCCGAATTATGAGGTAAGTTTTTCAAATGTTTTGCTCTCCCAAAAAATAAGTTTTTTCCTCAAGAACTAATGAATGTTTTAACGCTTTATAAATTCTAGTTTTTGAATAACATATTTTAATTGTAAATTGGTGTTTGTAGTTTGCATGAATTTTAAATCTGATGATGGAGGTGTTGCCTCGCCGAAACGTTATGAAATAAACGATATAAAAGTTTTTATTTTGTCACACACTTTGTCTCAAACCCAAGAAGGAAAAGAATATAATTAAAAGGGTTTTGTTAATTTACTTTCCATGTTGTTTCTGCCCAGCATAGTTAGATGATTGTTTCAAATTATGTTTTTGCAATGTTTCCTAAAGCAAAACAAAAAAATTACAGTGAGTCCCAGAGGTAATGCCTAAATTCAGTTAAAATTAAGCGGTATTTTTATTGTCAAAAATGCTCGGTCCCGTCAATTTTACAATATAATTGATTTATTATTATCAATTTATTATTATAATATAATTTGTAAATGCGATTTTTTCATACCAAATATTTATGCATGGTGGTCCAAAAATAAGTTACCACCATCAACTTTTTTTCAAATGGAAGCACTTCAAAAAAATATACTTTAAGGGGATTTTAAATACTGTCGAATTTTGCTTATATTTTTACGGACAAGGTTCAGATTTGATCATTTTCTCCGTCGGATATATCCTCCTATGTAATTTGTAATTAATTTAACAACTTATATAATTGTTTAAGTTTTAAAATAGCTAATCATTTCCAATCAGGAATCCTATAATTTGCCTATAATTTTCTCATATACCTACTTGACATCAGACTAGTAGCAACTTGACATTGATGATTATTGAATGATATGAACATTTTAATATTTGTTTAGTCTTAATTTTTCAGAGAAATATTTGGTGTTATTGATTTTCAGATTATTCCAATTTTATTGCATACAAATTGATTAGTGTATGTAATTAGTTAACTTAGGTACGTTTTGTTTAATAGCAAATAAGTTTTGTTTTACAAAGTGCTCCCGCCAATAACGTATTTATTACATTAAATTTGCATTATTGTCGAATTTTATAAGCTATAAAATGTCTTTCAAACATTCCCAGTTGTTTCTGCAATATTAATAAATTTAGTTACAATTTCTACCCTTTTCAACTTAAATAAGAATTTGGCATTGGATGCAATATCGAAATACCGGGTGATTCAAAAGATTCAAAGTTGGCGTCATTCCTCTGGAGGTGTTTTAGAGAGGAAAAGTAGTAAAAAAATTAATTGTTATTATAAACTGAGATATGTGCAAAAAACTATATCAGAAAGACGTCAACAATGTTTTTCAAGGAAATCTGCCTAATTAATATTATCTAAAAACCTGTTGCTTCGTAATTATTTAAATTCCGGTAACCATGAAAAAATACAGAGTAACAATAAGATAGATAAGGATAAAAGGTAAATTCAACAGGATTTATTAAATGTGGAACGTACTTTTTCGAAATGTCAACATTGTTATCATAACCTCGAATTGATGTGTACACCGCACAAATAAATAAACATTTCAGTTCCTAATTGCAAACAAGTAACCTGTTAAATGACAAAAAAATATCCTTGCCGCTTTGACTGTATAAGAGAACTTTTTTAATATGAACATTTTTCGTAATTTGGAGCGAAGATCGTAATTTTTCTTTTTAAATGCTTAAGTGCTTAAGAAATTTCAAGATAATAATTAATAACAAAGTTGAAATTAGATTTTCAACTGTTAATATATTTTAAAAACTATCGAAAAAAATATTTTTAATAATTTTCTCGAACTTTCCAAGCGAGCCCCTATTACCCTTTAAAAGGAATGACGCCAATTTTGAATCACCCTGTAGTGTTACAACAGAAAATCTGGAAAGAGCGGAAAAAGCTGGAAAATCTGAGGAATTCCGAGATTTACATACTTGATATTAATCAGACATTATTAGTAGTTCATGCAAGCAATTTTTCTGCTGTTTCTACACTGCTAACAAAAATCCTTAGATTTTT